CTGAAAAATGAACAGTGAGTTCAGCACCATGGAATTGTGCTCTTGCCTCTGGTTACATTGCAGAAGTCTAGTTCGTTCTCCAGACTTTGGTCCCCTGAGTCCTTTAAGGCTCCTAGGATGCTGCTTCATAAAATAAGAAATATGCTCCTACTCTGCTTCTAATTACATGTGAATACATGGGCCACAAAAGGATACTGCCTTGTGCTTCCACTATCTTAGAGAAATTTTAGCAAAATCATTTTTTCTTTCTGTAATAGCCTTTACTTTCTGAGGTTTCAAGTTTTAAAGGAAATAAAAGAGAGAAAAGAGTGGTAGAATTATAGGAAAAATTAATGGCTCCTCATCTAAAAATTATTCTTTCTCTCTCACACTGACTCTTTATCCTCTGAACAAGCTTACGTATTTCATGTGGCCCCAAATCTCTTATCTGAGTGAACTCATGGAAGTCCTATTCCTTTTTCCCTCAATACACTGATAAATCCCTACAGCAAACACCATTGAAGCTGTCAAAATGAGGTCCCTGATAGACACAATTTAGATGATTTTTTTCTAAAATAAATACCTTCCTGAAGTTTTGTATTCAGGATGTCTTCTTCAAATTAAAACTTTAATATTATGTATAGATACTGACCCAACATCTAGAGATATCTGTTAGAAATGAGCTAAATTGCAAGGTAAGCTTCAATAGAAAGGATCTAGTAATGTATTGTATATAATGAGTTATACACATACAGTAGAAAAATACAACTAATATTCATACCAATAAATTAGAAATCATTTGCTTGCACTAACTAGTTTGGGAACTTGGTCAAGTTCATTGGACTATTGTTCAGATAGAATATAGATGAGAATATTTAGATCAGCAATCAGCATGGAGTAGGTACTCAATACATATTAATTTCATTTCAATTTTTAAATATCAGTTTTCTAATTTTCATTAATTTAGCAAATATTTATTGATAATCTACAAAGTATCATGAACTCTGCAAAGTGTTACATATACATTGGTGAAAAGAGACAGACAGATATGGTGCCTGTTGCCACAGAGGTTACAAAGGACATACGTAAAGTGAAAATAATACTCAGCTCACTGAATTTTCAAGGGGGTCATGTGAGATAACGTTTGAAAATGCATCAACTTAGAAACACTATGCTTGTTCATTTTCAGACTTTTATTTGTAAAATAATTATGTTCTGATTCCTGAGTCAGAGATGCAGAGAAAAGTAGGAGGGTAGAATTCTATTCTTCACTTTAATTTCTGTTTGAGTTTTGGAAGGCTCCTTACAACATTATGTTTGTCTTGGCACAGGGGTTGTGTAAGTGCTAGAGGGCTGGGAGTTTTGCTGAGTCTGGCAGTAAGAATCTAGGTAAGGAAGAGATGTCCAGAGTGCTCAGAACTGGTTAAAAAAAAAAAAGTAGCAAAAACAAAGAGACATGGGAAAGGAGAGAGGGGTTTTGAGGTCTTGGCACACCCAAAGGCAGGAAGAAGAAATTCTGAAAAGCAGGAAGAGGAAATTCTGAATTAGCCCTTGTACCTTTCTAGACCAGGAATCCAGCCTATAAAGAGGTGAGGGGCAAGTGAAGAAAAAACATAACATGTCTAGAAATGGAAGTTTCTGAGGTGCCTGTAAATGCAGAAAGGACACGTGTTGATATTTGTCCATTCATATATGTTCTGACTGACCAGTCACTGTCATTCGAACATCTTTAAGAATAGGCTGGAGGGAACACCATTCTCCCCTACTTAACCAAATATCTACTTACATTTCTAGAAGAAAAAATGAGCCAGGCATAGTCCCAGCTACTTCGGAGGCTGAGGTGGCAAGATTACTTGAACCCAGGAATTGGAGACCAGCCTGGACAACGTCATTTAATTTTTTTGTTGTTGTTTTTGAAGATGATGACTCTATTTTGAAAATATTCCATGCTCCTTGTTCAGAAGAAATTTTTGAGAGCTACTTAGCATGGGAAACTCCAAAGCCTGACTCAAATAAAAGATGTGAGTTGAATTTCTTTGTATTATAAAGGCAGGAGGTATTTGATATTTGCTGAGGAAAATTCTGGAGGGACAGTGGAACCAGAGAGGCTGGACTCTGTCAGAGGGAAGCAGAAGAAAATTCCTATTGCCATGTGGCCCAAGAGGACTGGAGGATATAAAATGTCAAGAATTTTTTGAGTGGGATCCCATGTTCTGTACAATATAACCCCCCCGCCCCCCACCCCAAGAAATCTGCCATAAAGATGTTGATGCCTGCTGTGTTTGGGCTTCTTGCAGAAACAAGTGAAGGTACAGAGTGCTGCCTTTTGGTTACCAGCTGCCGAAGGGCCAAAACAGATCTTGCATACGCAGACACAAGTGCCAGGAAGCCCCTGGCTGATGTCTGGGTTAAGTGTGTGTATACCCATCTTAGTTCTATTGCAACCCTGGCAAGCAGACAATTAGACTGTTTTTCAGACTCATTACAAATCAATTTTCTCATTCATTAGTGCTATGTTTGTTCATAAAGCAGAATATTCAAAACTTCCAGCATATGTATAATTAGTGTTATGAATTGCTTTTATAAATGTCAAAATTTAGCAATTTTTGTTGGTGAAAAAAATGCCAGACTTCAGAGAAGAAAGGAGAAAGAGAATAACCATGGAAATGTTAGTGATTAGAAAGCTGCAGGAGAAAATAAAAGGCCTTAGAAAATCTTGAGGGAATTAATTTGACTATTTTCCAGTAGAGCTTTGGAGAGGAAAGCAGGGGGTTGGGAGAAAGCTGGGAACAGAGCTCACACAATGAGGAGACAGATATGAAGGGGGAGAGAAAGAGAAAGACGTGTTTTTCTAGTCTTTAAAGAAGGGTGTGGGTATGAAAGGGCCCAGTGTGAATCCAAGTGGCAACTGGCCCACGTGGAGTCTCTGCTAAGAGGATGGAGCTACTTCAGGCAAGAGCACCATGATAGGCTCAGCGAGTAAAACGTTAGCATGAAGGAAAAATGGTCCTAAGCCCCTTCTGCCGCAGGAAGCGTTTGCTTAATGAAAATGTATACGTACTTCACGGAAAAGCATAACCTTCCTAAAAAAATGCTTTAGTAGTTTCCTGATAAAATTTTATGGGATTTAGACGTGTTTGGAGAACACGTTATGTTGAGAGTTATGTACCCTCATTGTCCTCTGTCAGGCAAGAGTTGAATGATTTTAAATCGTTCTTTTAGTTACTCTGATAATGCTTAGGTAGCATTCCCTATGTTTGTAATCAGAGCAAATGTTTGAATTGACCTCCTAGAGGCTTTCCTTGTTGCAATATTGTAATAAAACCTGACTCATAAAAAGTTTTTTCTTTAATAATAGAATCACCTAATAATAATAATTAGCCAAATAAAATTTGCTTTTATTCATCTTGGATTGTTCCCTCTCTCATTAGCAAAACGCCTACAGTAACACTAACCTCTCTGCTTCTGAGATATTACAACTCCAAGATGAATGCAAGCAAAACCACCACCAGTGTGCTATTTGCCTCCAGCATATTTCTGTAGCATCCTAGTGGACACTGACTGTATTTTGTCACCCAGATTCTCTGTCAGCGTGGAAGAACCTTTGCTCCAAGCTCTGGGATTGCTTCATCGGCTGCTTCAGGACTCACTCTCAGCTAAAGAGAACCCCATCACTTGTGGACACCTCCCCTTTCCTGCAGGCAGTCTGGAACCAGTGACATTAAAGACCTGAACCCTGCACCTCATCTTGGGACAATTCTAAGGGCCACCTGAGTTCCAGATATTATCAAGGACTCAGCTGAATCTTTTGGTAAGACTGTGTCCCAGTTCAGCTTCTCTCTCTGCCTGTTTCCTTCCCATCAGCATGCCTGATGCTGATCCTACAAGCCTGTCCTAAAACACTCTCTTATGATAATATCCCTCTCAGAGTCTGTTTCCTGGGACCTGAACTATAACAGGGGTCTTTGCTTCTCAGAGTACTGACCTAGCCGAATGTTTTTTAAAAAATGTTTTTGACTCTAGAAAACATTTCCTTAGTGAACAGAGGTGGATGGGAGTGGGGCTGGAAGAGGGAATGGTTCTCATTAAAAGGAATGCTCAGGGAGAGAGTCCTGTGCTTTTTGTCCCCAGAAATATGGGGTCAAGGCTAGTGGGAAAATGAAATGTTGGAATAGCCAGTGTGAGTCAGAGACAGAGAGAGAGCGAGTCTCAAAACTTGGCGTGGGAAGTAGGGTCAGATTGTGAGAATGAGCTAAGGTTTAGCACGGGATTGTGATTTTATAAATCACAGTATTCAAAACTCAAGTGTGTATAAGCAATGCCAAGACTGTTAAACAAGAAATGACAAAACTCTCCAATCTTTTCCTTCCTCTTGGAGATAATCAGAGCCATCTGTTCCACCATTTTTGAAACTGCTTCAAAATAATTATATTCAGGTCTTACCTAAAATTATACTTTATTAAAAAAAAGGGTTTAAATGGAACTACACTCTATTGTTGGGTGTCACTTTGCTCATTCAACAGCATTTTATTTAATAAGATTTTTGCCTGCCATGTCTATATGTGTCCTGTACCAGACTGTGTGCTAGGTCAGCACTACAAACTGACTTTATTGGAGAAGGAAGAACTAAAGCAAAGAGAAAACAACTAAAATCATTTAAATTGTAAAGAACGACAGAATAAGTGGAAGCATTTGTGATTTAAGATATTTTTAGTCAAGTTTGGTGCCTGCATCTACGATGCCTCACTATTTACTATGTGCCAAATTAAACAATAACTTTTGGGCTTATAGCAGTCTCAGTATAATGTGATTGTTGCAATCTCAGCTGCAATCAGTTTGAGTAGTAGTCACCTTAAGGAAAGAAGAAAGCCACCTATTTTATATTTTAATTGGGCAGAAGTAATATAGCAATAAGCTAACATCTCAGCTGGGCTGAATTTGTCTGATTAACTTGCTTCTACTTATACCCTTTGCCAGTGGAGCAGAAGGTGCTTAACTGTGAAAAAAGGAAGCCCCAGGCATTTTCATTGTTTTATATATATATATTTACTCCTAACAATTTAATCCTCATAATCCTATAGGGAAGGTAGTCTTATATCATTTTTTCAGATGGAAAACTTGAGACCAGCCTCAGAGCTAGACAAGGGCCATGGAGGGCCAAGGTCATGGCAGAGTTCAATTGTCTCCAAAGGGAGCAGTTATGGACAACTTAAGGTAACAACTGGATCCATAAAGATTGAAGCAAGAATGACTGAGCAGGTAAGTAAAGGGTTAGTGAAAGAAAACTCTAAGGAGGGCAAGGTGACAAGGTGAAAACGATGGGTGACTTCACAGTTGGACATAAGAGCTGAATAACCATGGGTGTCCTGGAATTCTTTTGAATCTTGGTTTCTTTTATGTAAAAAGGGATAATAATATCTACATCAGAGACTGGTTTTGAAGATTAGGTGAAACAATGTGTGTAAAACATGTAGCCTATATTCCTTTCTTCTTCTTTCTCTTCTTTCCTTCCACTTCTTTGTAATTTTGTCCAGGGGTGGTCTTCATTCTAATCGAAGGTAATGGGAAATCAAAGTTAGTTACAGTAAAACTCATGGAAATGGGAGAGAGATAAACAGCAGTCAATCATTTAGTTATAGAGGGGTTGTGCTTGGATATGATTCAAAACCTAAACCTAATCTGTATTTTATGTCAAAAGTTGATAGGGCCTTTCAGTGTTGGACACTCAATTCTGACTTTACGGACTTCCTAATACTGGAAAAAGAATGTGTGAAATTCCATTTTGGCATTTTCTACAGTGGTACTTTCAGATGTTTCCTAACAGCTGAAGCCTCTAATCTACCCTCCCCCCAGCATATCATTTGCTTCCCAGGAGCTCACAAGATTGAGGCCATATGGGTACATATCCTTAAATTCCCCCATGGTCACTCCACAATCTTCTTCGAGTGGCCTTTTTACTTTCTCTTATCCAATATTAATATATTTAGTCCCCTTCATCCCGGCTTTTTGAAGGAAGTGACATTTTTTTTTTTTTTTTTTTGAGATGGAGTCTCGCCCTGTTGCCCAGGCTGGAGTGCAGTGGCGTGATCTCGGCTCACCACAACCTCTGCCTCCCAGGTTCAAGCGATTCTCCTGCCTCAGCCTCCTGAGTAGCTGAGACTACAGGTGCGTGCCACCATGCCCGACTAATTTTTGTATTTTTAGTAGAGACAGGGTTTCACTATGTTGGCCAGACTGGTCTTGAACTCCTGACCTCATGATCTGCGCCTGCCTCAGCCTCCCAAAGTGCTGGGAATACAGTTGTGAGCCACCACACCTGGCCCATCTCATTAATTTTTATAGGTCCAATAGACCAAGTATAGTGCCATGAACATAATTTGCACTTAACAAAAGTCAATGATTAAGTAGGTAGACTTGAATGTTTCAGTCCAGTGTATTAGTATTTTCAAAATCTGGGCAGGAGAATTCGGAGGTACATGTTGAAATGCAAGAGGAAATAGTCATCATTCAGGTTTTGTTGACTTCCACAGAGGCTCTTGGGAATCAAAAGTTAAGGCATGGGGGGAACCAAAGCCAGAGTTCAAGTCCTAATGCTAGATTAGAACAAGAACAGAGAAAGAGGCTAGTCTCTCCGGCTACCTGGTAGATGAGGGTCACTTGGCTAGTGGAGTGAGTCACTGAAGTATAATCTGTCACCCTTTCCCTTTCTTTACTTCCTCTACTCTTTCTTTCTGTCACCCTTTTCCTCCCCTCCCCTCCCTTCTCCTCCCCTCCCCTCCCTTCTCCTCCCCTCCTTCCTTCCCTCTCTCCTTCCTTCCTTCGAGGGGCCTTTTTACTTTCTTTTATCCAATATTAATGTGTTTAGTCCCTTTCATCCCAGCTTTTTGAAGGAAGTGACATCTCATTCTTTTTTTTTTTTTTTTTTTTTTTTGAGACAGAGTCTTGCTCTGTTGCCCAGGCTGGAGTGCAGTGGTGTGATCTCGACTCACCAAAACCTCTGCCTCCCAGGTTCAAGCGATTCTCCTGCCTCAGCCTCCCAAGTAGCTGGGACTACAGGTGTGTGCCACCATGCCCAGATAATTTTTGTATTTTTAGTAGAGACAGTTTCACTATCTTTCTTTCTTTCTTTCTTTCTCTTTCTTTCTTTCTTTCTTTCTTTCTTTCTTTCTTTCTTTCTTTCTTTCTTTCTTTCTCTTTCTTTCTTTCTTTCTTTCTCTTTCTTTTCTTTCTTTCTTTCTTTCCTTTCTTTCTCTTTCTTTCTTTCTCTTTCTCTCTTTCTTTCTTTCTTTCTTTCTTTCTTTCTTTCTTTCTTTCTTTCTTTCTTTCTTTCCTTCCTTCCTTTCCTTCCTTCCTTCCTTCCTTCCTTCCTTCCTTCCTTCCTTCCTTCCTTCCTTCCTTCCTTCCTTCCTTCCATCCATCTAGAGAGACAGGGTTTCTTGCTCTGTTGCTCAGGCTGGAGTGTACAGTAGTGTCCTCTGATGATAGCTCACTGTGGCCTCTAAGTCCTCGGTGGGCTAAAGTGATCCTCCTGCCTCAGCCTCCTGATTAGCCAAGTAGCTGGGACTACAGGTGTACACCACCACACTCAGCTAACTAGAAGTAGTCTTTATGATGGACTGGCATTCGTTCAGTTAAAAATGGAGGACTCTGTTAGTGAGGAGGAAGGGATGAGCAGATATGGAGGGTCAATCAGCAATCTCTGTTAGAGAGGTGATGGGGATAATGGTATACTTTGGAGTTAAAACTGAATTGAACTGGATGGAATATAATGATGCTAATAATGAGCCACCATGAAAGTAAAAGAAAAATAAAAGATATCTTTAGATTGTTTTAATCTGGTTATAGAGTGAAGGTCCCTTTTAACAAAAGTGGAAAACCCAAAAGAAATATATACTTAAAATGTATTGCATATAGATAATAAAGTTTCCCAAGTAAGCCACTGTGCAGATAACACAGGAATATGATACAGTTGCAAACCAATCTGGTAGATAACTATGCAGGCTTCTTCCTTCCACTCTTCTAAGGCAGGGCAATCAATCGTGGGTTTTTGCTGTTATTAATGTGATAAAATAGTATGTATAGTATGGTGTCTGGCAAATAATAAATGTTCAATAAGTAGAGTGAATTCTTATTATTTTAATTATGTTTTTAAACAAAAGTAATCTAGGAGAAAACAAAAGTATGATGACAGAGACTTCTTGTGAAAATCAGTGAGTGGCTCTCTGCAGTGGTTACAGAAATGCCCCAGCATGGAGACCATCCTGTAAACTGGCTCTGCTGTCCCAGCAGTGATGGAAAGCACTCAATTTACTTTCTCGTGGAAGAGACAGAGTGGCTGTCAGTTTACTGCAATCTTTTGGACTGCCTGGAAAATTGAACGTACAACAGGAGAAAGGAGAGGCAGGACACAGATTCTGGAATAGAAGTCGAAGACAAAGAGGCTCGTAAACATCAAGATTCTGGGGCTAATCTAGCCATTCACAGCTTTAGAGCCATGGGCAGTAACACTTAAAAAATACACTATGTTCTAACTACCACAAGGTTTTTCACTCTAGCAACTAAAAAAGCACTGGCCTCAGGATTTGCAATATTAAAAGTCGCAGCTCATCCACCATCAGATGCTAACTGACCCTGCTGTTCCACAAGCCATAACTACAACTTTGATTGGACAAGAGTCTGGTTTCAGTAACTTTCTCCTGATTAAGAAGACCACTGACCATTGACTGGTTCTGCCCGTTTACAGAGATTACACACTTACCTACCTTTGTATGTAAAATGATCTTTTGATATATAAAGCATAACTATAACACATTTAAATGCTAAGTAGCCACCCCAAAGTGAACATGGGTCATATGTTACATGCATGTTTGTTCAGTAGGCATGTGTCAGGACCACCTTCATGAATATTCATAGCTCCTCCTGTAACCAGTTAAATATATATGTTTAGCCAACCTCTTTAGCATAAAGCTCCTACCCCAAGCCCCCCTCCTTTGAAGGGCCTCTCTCTGGTCTTGCCTGGATGGCCACCTTGCAGGCTGTAACCCTTTGGAAGAAATAAAGTCTCCTCTCTCCTTTTCAAAACTTAAAAATTGTGAATTTTTATTTTTATTTTATGTATTTAACTTTTAAGTTCAGGACATATGTGCAGGTTTGTTATATAGGTAAATTCATATCATGGGGGTTTGTTGTACAGATTATTTCATCGCCAAGCTATTAAGTCCAGTACTCATTAGTCATTTTTTTCTGATCGTCTCCCTCCTCACTCACTCTGTCCTCCAGTAGGCCCCACTGTCTGTTGTTCCCCTCTATGTGTTCATGTGTTCTCATCATTTAGCTCCCACTTATAAATGAGAACATGCCATATTTGGTTTTCTGTTGCTAAGGATAATGGCCCTGAGCTCCATCCATGTTCCTGCAAAGGATATGATCTCATTCTTTTTTATGGCTGCATAGTATTTCATGGTGTATATATACCACATTTTCTTTATTCAGTCTACCACTGATGGACATTTAGGTTGATTCCATGTCTTTGCTATTGTGAACAGTGCTGCAATGAACATAAGTGTGATGTGTCTTTGTGATAGAGTGAGTTATATTCCTTTGGGTATATACCCAGTAATGGGATTGCTGGATCCTATCGTAGTTCTGTCTTTGAGGAATCACCACACTGATTTTCCAAAATACATGTGGCCAACAAGCATATGAAAAAAAGCTCAAGGACACCGATCATCAAAACTACAATGGATTTTTTAAGTTAATAATGTGAACAGGCTGAGTATGAGGGACACGGTGGCTCAAGCTTGAGTATATATGTGCTGGCAGGGGGATCTGTACAATGAAGACAATTTGTGGAGGGCTTCTCATTGCAGGTGGAGGATATGACTTCCTCACAAAGGCAACGATTAAGAGTTCTGAACAGATTAAAAGCTGCATAGGTCTGTGTTTTAGGGAGGTGGAAATGGGGATGATGGACTGGAAGGGTAAAAAACCAGAGATCAGTTTTGAAGCTGCTGTACCCATTCCAGAGAAGTGTTGCATTGACAGAGCACCCAAGTCCTGGAATAGGACCATGGTTAGAACGGCAAGTATTTATCAGTTGGAATGGTAAACATTTATCAGGGGAGCAACCAGGTTATTTAATCCGAGTCTCATTATGTCTTCTATCAAATACTCATAAAAAATAGAAATTAAAAACGTGTGTAAACTATCCAGTGGATGGTCATTACTCAAAACAAGGTATTTTAAAAGTTTCTCCCTTATTCTTTCTGAGTGCAACCTGTAGTACCTGAACCACTTCTCTTTCGGCCCCTACCACGATGTTCTGCAATCTCTTTTTACCTGTCTCACCGTCTTCCTGTACTGTGTGCCTCATCGGGACTTCTGAAGGCTTACAGCTTAGGTCTTTGTATTCCGTGTCTCTGGCACGCGCCTCTGCACTCCGTAGGCCTCAACCAAAACTTGTGAGCAAATAGGAATGTTAAGGGGGTGAAGGAGGTGGGCGCGAAACGGTTTCGAGGTCGCTCATTCAGCCGGTTTCTGCCGCCAGGCCAACGCCGCTGGGTTGTATCTAAGAGATCGCCGGTGTCAGAGCGCAGCCGGCACCTTCCCAAGCATCTTGAGGGACAAGCAGAATCGCTCCTCCCGCAGGGCGCGGGCTAAGAAGTAAGGAACCCAAGGGGCTCCTGTCCAACTAAGAAGCGAAATCCCCCTCCTCCAGGCCTTCAGGGCTGGTTCTTGGGAAATCCTAACTCTTTCCCCCTTCTAACCCCTTCCTTGGCCCTTCTTCCTGCCCTGGAGGATCAAGGGCGCTGTTTTCCAGAAGCTGCCGGGTCGGAAACGGTAGGGGAATGGGGCGGTACGCGTGGGTGGAGGATAGGCGGGGAGGGGGCAGTCCACGAACTTTTGTCACAGCCTGGGAGACCGCGGTGACATTCCTGTCTGCTCTGCCGGCAGGCCAGCCTCTCCGGCCCTGGACTAGGGGGCGCCGCCGAGAGAAGCCGCCGCAGGCTGCAGAGTCGCAGACCGCGCTGCTCGCAGGGAGACCCCGGGCTGCCCACCGCGGCCTAGCGCGCGCCGGATGGCAGGAGAAGTGTCAGCGGCCATGGGCCGCTTCTCGCTGGAGTGGTTGGGCCTCCCGGGCCTGGCCCTCGCCGCGGCCCTGCTGCTCCTGGCCCTCTGCTTGCTCGACCGGCGCACCAGGTAAGCGCCTCGGCCGCCCGGCCACGCATGCGCCCTGGGCCCCGCGGGCCGCGCGCGACCCAGATGGCGAAGGGAGTCCCCCTCCATGATTTCCAGTGCAGACAGTCAGAACTTGCTGCGGGGCACTGGCTTCCTCTGGGACTTTGTAATAACAAAGGCTTCTTCTGTCTTTTTCCCACACATACGCATACATATTAAAGCTTTGGGACCGAATTCCATTTGCTGCTCCAGCATAAGTTGTAGTAAGCCCTAGGTTGGCGGTATGCATCATGCATCACAGACACATTGTGTGTCTTGCCACTGTGAGTTGATGTTTTATGGCCTAGAAGTCATAGAGCATTTCAGGAGGGGAATATTCTTACATTTCATTAGTTGAGAGAGAACTATTTCAAGAAAATGTCAGTGCATGGTGTGAACAATAATTCTGAGTGCCTCTTCCTCAGTTTACCTCCCTGTACCTCATCTGGAAAGCTGAAATAATAGTACATGCCTCGTGAGATTTTTGTGAGTACTAAATGAGTTAATGGAGAGTATTTTATGTAGTTGCTCTATCATTTTTATAAGGACAAAACAAAACACAATAATGACAAAACCTAGACGTATGTCACTTCTTTACCTAATTTGAATTGTGGAAGTAGAAATAGAGAAGTTCAGATAAAATCATTCACTTTGAGTTTAATCTGTTTTTCCTTTCTTTCTGGGTCCTATTTTCATACTGCTCTGGTGTTCATCGCTTTTGAAAAACAAGCAGATGCATTTTGTTGGGTGATAATTGATACATATATGTATGTATATTTGCATACATATATATCAATGTATAGATATCTATGTGTGTGTGATACAGGTTGTTTCTCAATAGTTTTTGGGGAAATGACACCTTTGCACTGCATACAAATATCTATCGTCATTTCTAGAATGCCTGGAGATGAGTACTGTAGGAGTATTTGCCTTTCTTCCCATGTCAGTTTTCAGAGATGTCCCTGGAATGTGCACTCCTCCAGGATGTCTTTTCCAGTGGCTGTGCTTTTGCTTTAGAGGCCAAGATGAGGACTCAGGACACTTGAACTTCAGTGGTATGTGATTCTATGTAGGTTCCACCTTCTCTATTTGCAGGGTCAGTCAAAGCCAGTTAAGTACCTCTAGGTATGCCTTTAAAGAGAGGTGGTAAAAGAAGGCTGTTGGTTCTATTCCAACTTTACATGCAGGGTAGAAACAGACAAGCTGACTAGGGCAGTTTGGATCAGTGAAGGTAATTGGTGTGAGAATGTGGAACTTGAGGGACAGGAAGGCGAAAGGGTAAGGTAGGCTTTCTCTCCTAGCGTTCTGAGAATAGGCTGATCTTTATATCATGAAAAATTATTTTACTGAGATATTCATGCCATCAATTGCCAATTCCTTCATACGAGACTGTTTAATGCCGCATATCTATGGGACACTACTTTGATTATATTGCATTTCATTGTGTAAAAGATAGCCTCATTTGTCCCAGTACAGAGTCATGTTCCTTATTTCTAGTGTTTGGACAATTTACTAATGCTCTACGAAAATGATTTTTCTGATATCACTTCTAAGAACAGAAACATGGTTAAGAGTCCCTGATATATTCTTACAGATTTTTTTAAAGCTTATGCTAATATGCATGAATATATGTTACTAAAAATAGTGGGGAAATATACCCTATGTTGCACCTTGTATTTTCCACTTTGCAATACATTTTAGTTACCTTCCTATGTCAGTTTATAGAAGTCATTATTTGTAACGATTATATAAATATACACCATACATACACAAAAACACACACACAAAACATGGATATCTTTGAGCTTTTGTGGAAATATTTATGTAGGATGGTGGAGTTGTTATCAAAATGTATGTGTGCTTTACATTTTAATAGATGTTGCCAAACTACTCTAAGCCTCAATTTATGTTACTACTAATCATCTGTGCAAGTGCCAATTTCTCCACATTCTGCCAATACTGGTAATATAAATCATTTTAATTTTGCCAATCTGATACATACAGAAAATGAAGCTTCATTTTTATCCCAAATTTTCATGTATTTACTTTTAAAAGAATTTGTATATTTTTAAAGACAATAATTGTCTGTTTCTTCAATAATTTATTTTTCGACTGGGTTCTTTTTCTATACAGTCAGCAAAGACTTACGTAATAGGAATTTTCATACTTTTTCATACCAGCTGCAATTATTTTTAATATTGTAATTTGCATTTGTTTAAGAGTTTTTAGATATATGTCCTTGCTTAGAAAGCCCTTCTTTTTCCTAACATGATAAAAATATTCAGCACAGTTTTCCATTATCACATTGAGAGATTTTTACATGTATATAGATTACATTTTTATTCTCATTCCATTTTCATCTTTTGAACAATTATGGCTGAAAAGTGTGTAATATTGCATAGTATAGGAATGCCAGATGTTCCAAAGTAAAAATTTAAATATTACCTATAAAAATGGTAAAAAAAAAAATTTAAAAATCGGTAAAAATCAATTCAGAGGTCATTTATTGCCTTCAGACACTTATCAATTCCACCTCTTTTGGCTACAGTACTTTGATTTCCTTTTGTGAAATTGTCTTTTCCCTTGTTGGTTATTATCTGGTGAGACTGTTAATCACAGATGCCATTGCAGTATTTATCAGGAGAGATGACAGTGGCTTGGCCTAGGGTTGTGACTGTGGGGTTGATGGAAGGTGGTTAGAATCAGGATATATTTTTGACAACAGAGTCAACAGAATTTACTAATGGGCTAAACATGATGTGTGAGGGAGGTGGGAATCAACAAAGAAGCTTAGAAGTTTTGTTTCCCTTTTTTTTGTTGTTTTTGGTTTTTTGTCTGATTATTAGTGGACGGTAATGTCATTTCCTTAGATAGGGAAGGTTTGGGGGAATTGAGGAGATCAATAATTCTGTTTGGGGTATGTTAAATAAGCAGTGAGCACCCAGAGCTCAGGGGAGAGGTCCAGGCAGGATACATATTTGTGAAAGCCACAAATGTGAAAAGGGAATTAAAGCATGAACAAGTTGAGATCGCCTGATGAAAGGGTTTGATGGAGAAGAGGAGGGCCTGGGCCACTCTCCTTATGGAAACAGCCTGGCAGAGAAAGAGGAAAGTTTTTTTACATTCCTTTCTAGTCCGTTCCTACCAGAGTTCTGAGTCAGTTTTGTCCATTCTTGAACTTCATATAAATGGGATTATACAGTATCCATTTTTGTGTATAACTTCTTTGTCTCAACATAATGATTTTAACATTCATTCATGTTGTTGTATCTATCATTAGTTCATTCGTTCTATTTAATTGTAGTTTGTAATATATATAACACAGGAGAAGATTGAGGGGCATAGAATATAGAGTTTTCTATCCACAACCACTTCTGAAAATTGACACTTTTCTAAGTAATTGTTGATTTTTTAATTTTTTTAAATACTTCCACCAGTAATACATGAGAGTTTACGTTGCTCCACATCCTTCCCAGTATTTATTAATGCCAGTCTATTGGTTGGAAGCACTATCTTTCTGGATTTTGGATTTTGTTTTTTTTCCTCTGAAGTGTTGATTTTTGTTTTAGCATGCAGATACATTTCTGGCTGATTATTCTGAACTCATGGAAGCTTAGTTTTACTCTTTGTCAAGGTGAGTCTATGAAAAGGTTGAGATATTTACAGATTCTCTCTTCTTTGGTAATGCTATGATTTGAACATTTGCTTCCCCTCTAAAATTTGTATGTTGAAATCCTAACCCCCAAGGTGACAGTGTTAAGCAGTGGGGTCTTTGGGTTATAATTAGATCATTAGGTCATTGCCGTCATAAATGAGATTAGTCTTCTTATAAAAGAGATCCCAAAGGGTTCCCTCGCCCCTTTGTCCATGTGAGGACACAGCAAGAAGATGGACGTTTATGAACCAGGAAGTGGGCCCTCATCAGATACTGAATGTACTTGTGCCTTGATCTTGAACTTCCCAGGCTCCAGAACTGTGAGAGATAAATCTCTGCTATTTATAAGTCAATCAGTTTATGGTATTTTGCAATAGCAGTCTGAATTGACTAAGGCAGATGAAATTCAAACCCTAAACTCTGTCACCCCAGTGGTGGGCAGTGGCTGAAGCTTCTGTGCAGGATTCCAGCAGATCCCTTCCGCTGGGCTTTTTGGGGGTCTTCCCTGAAGATGCACACGTCCAGAGTTGGCCAATAATTTGAGGGGTGTATATATACAGATTTTTGAGGTGCTTTCTTTTTTTCTAGATTTCTTTCCTTGATTGCCAGCCACTTCAGTAGCCCCAAACTCTGAAACCCCATGCTGATAATATTTGTAGCTTTTTGCTTGAGTTGCAGCTTGCTGATAGGGAGTGCCCTCAGGGGCAATCCTGTCCACGCTGGACCTCTCTCAATATGGGTCTGTTCTTTAAGCGTTGCCTCCCCTCCGATATCTGCCTTCTTTTGCCTGTTCTTCAGCGAGTATAAATTGGTTTCTTTTTTTTGTTTGTTTCATATTTTGTTTTCCGTGGAAATGTTGGGTTGGTTCAAGCAACTTTGCCATTTCTGGAATCCAAACTCTATGTAAGAAAGACATTTACCAGTGATTATTTCTAGGTGACATATTTCTATGGGATGGTTTTTCTTGTCTTTGTTTTGCTTATATGTATCTTTAAGGTGATATCAATAAATACGTATTTATTTTACAAAACAAAGAATAATAAATTTAAAATTTTATTTTAATATTTTATTTAAAATAAAACTTTGAGAAATATGTTTAAAGTGTTTTAAATTATCATTTCCATTGGAAGGACCAGCAGTTGGGTAGTCCTTCCCATAGAAGACTTCTTACTTAGAACTGGATGTGTTATGAAACGCAGTTCATCTACAGCAAGTCATTAATAACATGTTTTTGTCCAATAATGAGATATATTTTTAAATCACTGTGTATCAATAATAGACTTAGGTATAGATACCTACTTCCCAAA